GTGACATGTGCAAAGTACGTGAGATGGTCTCACTGTCCTTGCTTCTAAGGAGCATTCTGGCTGTACTTCTTCCAAGACAGAGCCGTTCCTTCTTCTGGTGGTCTACGGTGTATAGTCCACATTCTTTACCAACACCATAATTCCAAGACACCGATTGTTCTTTGGTCTTCCTTATTCATCGCCAAGCTTCCACATGCATTGGAACCCACTGCCACTGAGTTGATTCCATTCTGACAGAGGGTTTGTAAATCTTTACAGGAGCAGAGTCTCATCTTTCTCAGGGGGGAGAGGAGGGGAAACATTGGTAAGTAACATCATGATAAACAAAATGTTGAAGTTGTCAAGGATTTCATCTTGCTTGAATCCACAGTGTAGCCACATGGAAGGTGGCCGTCAAGAGATGGAATGACACATTGCACCAGGTCAGTCTGCTGCGTGAGAACTCTTTAAAGTGTTGGAAAGCAAGGTGTGCCTGACCCAAGCCACGTGTGGCCACATACGCACGAGAAAGATGGACACTGAATCCAAGCATTTGCTGATGAAGAACAGAGAGGACCACGGACCTTCAGAAGAAACATGTCTTTAAGGAAGTACAGCCAGGACGCTAACACAAGCAAGGATGGGGAGACTTCTTCTCATGCACTTTGGACACGTTATCTGGAGAGATCAGTCCCTGGAGAGGGACATGCTGGGGCAGTGAAAAAGAGGAAGACCCTCCACAAGATGGATTGACACAGTGGCCACAGTATGGTCTCAAACAACAATGTTGAGGGTGGCGGAGGGCCCAGGAGCATTTCACCAATTCTGTTGTATGTAACGTCGGGCTGTTGGAACCAACTGATGGCACCTAATACCAACTGGCATAGCTGTTTTTCATAGACAACTAGTAATCCTCACCACAGTACTATCCATGCATTAACTCATATAATACTCCCCACTGTTCCCTATGCAGCAGCTCTGGTGGCACTGCCAGGACAGCATTGGACTGCTAACCTCAAGGTCAGCGGTTCAAACCCACTAACTATTCAGTGGGAGGATGAGGCATCTACTTACCCCCTTAAAGATTTCCAGTCTCAGAAACCTTATCTAGAGTTGCCATGAATCAGAATTGATTGCACAATCGAACGGTTTGTTTTGATTTGTTCTCTATTCATGTTTTCCAGGTGAGGCAATCGGGCTGACATGAAGAAGCCATGTGTCCTGGAGGCTGCCGGTGGCAGAGCTGGCACCAGCACTCAGGCCCCTCCTTGGTCTTGTATGTATCAGAAAAGCACATCTCTCTCTTAGGCAGTAGAAATATTAACCTCACTTTTGATCGCATCTTTTCTTTTACCCAGTTTTATTCCCACTCAACTTAAGGAAAACAAAAACTGATGCATTGACCTGCTAACAGCAAGGTTAGTGGTACAATCTACTAGCCAGCTGTTCAGCAAGAGGCGATGAGGCTGTCTGGTCGACTCTGGAAAGCCCTTAAGAAGTGCTCTGTCCCCTACTCTCGTCCCTAGGGTCGCTAAGAGTCAGAATCCACTGGATGGTAGTGGATAAACTCAGTCCTCGACTGAGCTTTTCTTTCAAGTTACTAAATGCATGCTAGACAAAAACATAGGTGATTGCTAATCTCTCTGACGCGCTAGTGGCGCAGTCGGGAAGCTTTGGCCTGCTAGCTGCTCCGTGGCGGCTCCAACCCTCGGAGGACCCCGAGGCTGGCTCCTTTGAACGGATCCCCACCGTTCTTTGTATGCAAGACCCCCAAAGCGCCGATTTAACCTCGAGGACCTGCACTCCAGGTCCGGAACACCGTCTTACTGGCTCACCTTAAAAACCCAAGTGCAAATTAAATACTGAGGGCTTTTTAACGGGTAAAGGCACGTTTCGCCGAAGCGAGTGAGGTTCGCTTCCAGGCCTATGGAAGAGGGCTCCCTCCCAGTTGGCCGAATCTGACGTGGTCGCTGGGGCTGCGCCACCGGCTTAGTCTCGGGGAGGTCGCCGGGCGATCTCTCCAGACGTTCCCGCCTTTCCTGCCCGTCTCCGAGTGCCCCTTCCAAATGCTGCCAGCTAGGAGCCAAGGTCGCAGGCGCCGCCCC